ATTAAATTCTTTGAACAATTTTTAAAGGTGACCACCAAAGGAACATTCCTGTGAAGTTTGGATGAAATTGGCTTAGTGGTTTATGAGGAGATGTCATTTAAAGTAAAAGTTTACGGACGGACGTCGGACGGACGAAAAGCGATCACAAAAGCTCACCCTGTCACTTTGTGACAGGTGAGCTAAAAACTCACCAAAATCTGATAGACAATGTTAAGAAAAATTTGGCATGACCTCCCAGTTCACTACTTTCACAGTCTGAATTCATCTATTCCATAAAGAATCTGCCAATTTGTCATTAGTAGGGGCCACATTACAAAGTATTAAAGAAAATAAAAAGTAAGTTCTGTTAAAAGATGTTTTACAGTTATTTAAAATTGTTCAGTTGAAAAACAAGCACCATGTTGGCAGCCATTTTGATGACTCACTTATGGCCATGGACTGTAACTTATTTATTTCTTAAAATCATCTATAAACATGTTAATATCAGTGTCAGTTGTTTTACAAAAATCTATTCTAAAAATTTTTGCTTTAAAATGCAAACATCTTATTTGACATCATCACTTTTTTCAAAAGTAAATCAAGAGGTCATGTATAATTCCTATCTTTAATTATAATTTGAGCCACGTCATGACAAAACCAACATAATTGGTTTGCAACCAGCATGGATCCAGACCAGCCTGCGCATTCGCGCAGTGTGATCAGGATCCATGCTGTTCGCTATCAGTTTCTCTACTTGTTATAGGGTTTTTAAGCTCATTTAAAAATAGTAATGAGATTCCTATACTTAATGTAAATCAAAAAGTCCTTTGAGATTATCCCCATCTTAAATGTGAATCAAAAAAGTTGTTTTAAACTCGCATTATTAAAGTGGATTGGTTTACAATGAGCACATTTTCCATAATTATTTCAAATATTGATAAAATGATAGAAAATTCATGTAAATTGTAATTCCCACCTTTAATGTTTATAGAAACAGGAATTTGTAATCAGTCTTTCATGTAAAGTAAAATGTAATTCCAATATCTTTAATGGTAATCAAAAAGTCATTAGTGATGTCTGTGAGATATAATATGAAATTCTTATCTTTATTGTAAATTCCTCTATCAAACAGATAGGGCAATCAAGTGCATTATTACACAATATATGCACAGCATAAAAAAACAAATGCTTAAATGCCATATGACATCATATATGACATCAAAAACCAAATGATGTCAGCAATATTAATTCTACACTCAATGAAGTTCACATATCTTATCAATTCTCTTTTTTATTAGCAAGCTTGAATGGAAATAGATATAATTTTTCTTGCATTGTATTATAAGACATGCTTTTTTTGTTCAAATGCTTTGCAATTCATCAATTAGGCCTATCGGCCTTCGTGATTATATTCCTGCACATTTGAACTCAAACCATACATTAGTCTACAACCATGTACTCAAACTTGATATCTATTTCCTAATCAAAGTCATTTGATATTTCTATCTTTAATGTAAATCAAAAAGTAATTTGTAATTCCTATCTTTAATGCACATCAAAAAGTAATTTGTTGGTTTTATTACATGTTTTGCAGTAGATTACTGAATTATAACGGTTAATTATATTCCGATAATTTCACAGTAATGATTACCAAATATAATTTCACAGTAGCCGAACTATATTTGGCGTAAAAATAAAATATTTATCATTAATGAATGTTTTTTTCAGCGGAAATGATGTCAATCATAATAAAAAATGTACGTGATAATTGTAGTTCGTAAATATTTACGAACATTGTGCTGAAAAACATCTAAAATCTAAAAATAATCATGGAAATATATTTTGCTTCAACATTGTGACGTCATTATTTGATGACGTCATGAAGATAAGAGCATGACGTTACGCGGCAAAAATCAGTAAAATGGTGTAAAAATTGTTAAAAAATCATGAAATAAACAGAAAATTTGTTTGTTTTACATGTAAGATCAAATAATATTTCACTCGTGAACCCCAGCTATTATATTTTCACTCGTGGCTATGCCACGCGTGGAAAATATTGCATCTGGTGTTCACTCGGTGAAATATTTTTCGATCTTACACTGAAACAAACAAATATCCTCTATTTTTTTTTTTGTTTTATGAAATTTTTGAAATTCTTCAATCTAAATAAAATCTTCATTGTAAATCGTTGTAAATCAAAGTCTTTTGGAATTTCTATCTTCAATGTAAATCCATTCAAATTTTCCATGAAAACGAAAGTCATTTATTCTGTAAATCAAAAGAAAAAATGATTTAGATTTTGAAATCTATTTAAATATAAAATTTGTTAATGATTCTTATCTTTTATCAAAAATCTGAAATCATTTTAAATTCCTTTCTGGTTATCTTAAAATGATAAAAGCAGTTAAGGTAAATTATATCAGTAGTATTCATGTATTATATTAAATAATATACCAATACAGATACAGTCATATACTCAGTTACAGTCAAACTTAAATACTTAAAAAACTTTACAATCATGTATTTTTTATAAAAATCTTGAATATTTAATAATAACATAAAACAAAATTATATAAGATATATCTACTGTATAACCTATGCATTGTGGCTTGCCTCTTTACAACAATACCACTTTTAGTTCGCAAAGTAAAGATTTCCACTACATTTTACCTCTGGAGAGCATTTCAAAGGGTGTTTCTCTACAGAGTTGCTACTGTATTTGGAGATTAATGAATCACAATCTGATAAATCACATGTACAAAGATATTGATCTTCTTAATTTAGAGGCATTTTAAATATACTCCAGAAAAAAAAAAACACACACAAAAAAATTAATGCTCCCTCTTCATTGATATTAAATTATTATTGTGGTATCTTATTGATTGACAAACTAGAACATCAAAGAATAATCATATGGAAAGACATTCTGTATCTGTCTGCATGTATCTATCTTAATTGTTTATTAAAATGTATTGTAAGCACAACAACTTCATAATCATCAATGATCCAATCAGTTATTCTGTTCTGAAAATTCTTTATTTTACTCTAATCTTTTGTATTATTTTGTTATCTATTTCTGTTTATCTGTTGAATCTGAATATTACTTTGAAATATTGATGCCTTTGCCAGATATTAGGTATCTAAAATTGGCTTCAAGGTCATAAAATGTTTTTCCCCAAGCACGGTCGCAAATCTCAGTATTTTCATAATTTTGTCAGTGTTCATTCTGTGCTGCTTTCTGACCAATCAAATTTCTGATATCTGAGTTTGAGCTGAGAAAATTTCTTTATATTGAAATTAGACATAATAATTCTATAAAGAATATACATGTCAATATACATGTTCTATGTGCTAGGCCAGCACTAGTATAGAATGAGCAGGGATCTGATATTTTCCAATAAATTAACGTCTTCTTTTATCTTGGCTTCTGGGATCATAGTGTGGTTATGTCCCTGATGAATTATTTATTTCCAACCTAATCTTAGGAAAATATGCAAGGCCAATTTCAAATCCAGGGCTTTAATTTGAACAAACTTGGTAGACACCCATTAGAAGATGTTTCATGATAAATATCAAAGCTCTAGTTCTTTGGAGTTTCTATATGAAGAAGATGTTTTATGATAAATCTCTAACTTCTAGCTTTTTGGAGTTTTTATAAGAAGATTTTTCAAGTTTTTACTATATACATATATGGAAAAACAATGACCCCCACCTCCCCTTGGAGGGGCCAATTTTAACCCCAGGGCTTATATTTGAACAAACTTGGAAGACACTCACTAGAAGATATTTCATGCCTAAACTCTAGCTCTTTGGGTTTTTTATTAGAAGATTTTTTATGTTTTTACTACACACATATAAGAAACTTTTTACTATATACAAATAAGGAAAATCAATGACACCCAGGGGCGGGGCCAATTTTTTCCCCAAGGATTTTATTTGAACAAATTTGGTAGACCTCCACTAGAGGATGTTTCAGGCTTAATATCTAAGCTCTAGCTAATGGGATTTCTTAAAAAAGATATTTTTAGTTTTTTCTTTGGGTTGCCATGGCAACAAGAGTTCTGCTTGGAATTAAATTCTTTGAACAACTTTTAAAGTTGACTACCAAAGGAACATTCCTGTGAAGTTTTGATGAAATTTGCTTAGCAATCTATGAGGAGATGTCATTCAAAGTAAAAGTTTACAGACAGACTGTGACAGGTGAGCTATAAAAGATGTAGGCAACAAAGGTAACCATTTCACATTCAGTTGTAACATAATTTAGTAAATGATGCACAATGATAATGATTGATCATTTTAAATCCCAACAATTTATATATCTATTTACAACGTTTGTAAAAAGATACAAGTATAACAGTCATGTACCAGCAGGCAATAACCTAACAAGTATTCTAGTATTCCTAGTAGCAATTGTCCAACTGACAACCCAAATATAGCAACGCACCCAAAATATCAAGGGGAGCTAACCTGTTTTTCCACCTATGACTCTTTAAATAAGTTTTTAAGTTTTTAAATTGAATACAGCAGATAAATGGCAATAGAAAATAACTTAAGTCATGTACAAAAGTATCACAAAAAAACATGCAATGCATTGGAGACTCAAACTCTCAATTCCGATGTCTTGAGGGATCAGTGACCCCAAGACCTCTTGGTTACACAAAGTGCTAATTTGGTACACTGTTTATTTTATCCTTACAAAATACATAATGTATAACTATATAAATGTACATTTTCTATATACATATTTATATATATATATATATATATATATATATATATATATATATATATATATATATATATATATATATATATATATCTGTTAACCAGTTCTGCCTCAAAATGGAATGATCTCCAATTAAATATGCATATGACCTTTAATATAAAGGTCACAGGAAATCTATATTGTACCCTTGTGCCATGACTAACATATCAATATATAGTAACAAACAAACAATGCATTTCACATTTCTCTTTTTTCTTCTTCTTCTTCTTCAAAAAAATTAATATATACACACATAGATTATGGTAATATAACAAAATTATTATATCCTGACTAAACAAAGAGAGCATAATTATTCAATAATTATCACATTCAAATATAAATTAGATAAAAGTTAATAAAACATTGGCCCCACATCAAGTTTTATCCTGCACTCTTAAATATTGAGTCGTAGATTCACTATTGGCTTTACTTAGAGCTTTTTTCTTAATATCTTTATCTACATCAGCATCAGAAATCTTATGTTGAGCTAAAGCCGAGTCACTGGTCGTCATGTGGAGACGTCGTTTCTCTCCCGTCTCTCTGAAAACACAAAAAAATTAATATACAAGAGGGCCATGATGGCCCTGAATTGCTCACCAGAAACAACTCTTTTTCATTGTTAAAATAATTTAATATATAATTATATCACCTTACAAGAGCTCTGTGTGTTAAAGTATTATAATCACAAAGTACTGTATAAGTGGTTTAGTTAGCAACAAGGAAATATTTGGCGAATTTTGCTACTGATGATTACAAGCAACCTGTTTTCAGTTTTCACACTACTCTGAGATCAGCAATTTTAATGTTTGGAATTTTAAATTCGCTTATTATAATAGTGATTGGTCCAATAATTACATTTTTCTAAGAAATATTTTACTTAAATCTTGTTCCTTTCTGACCATACAAGGAACATGGATGACATTTTCCACTTAAATTTATTACCACAATAGGGGATATCACAATTTTGGCCGAGTAAATAATAAAGACAGCTGGTATTGGTTGAGTTTTCTACAAACCTTTCCCTGTTGAAAGCCTTGAAGTCAGCAAATGCTAATTCTATAGCCTTCTCCTCGTCATTTATGTCCTGTAAATAAAATCACTATCTAACTTGTATTCCCTTTAAAACAAAACATTTTCCCATTCACTACAGAGTAAATCTAACTAAAAATAATATACAGTTCCTAACTTAAAAATATATACTGGCATGCGAGCAGTTCCCGTACAGAAGCAGTACCCGTATTTTACGTTTAAATGCTTGATTTTTACTTGGATTCTTTAAAAATTCATATCAAATCAAGCAGATGTATGAACTAGACAAAATCTAAGTGTCAGTTCTGCAATACGTACAAAAATCTTTATTTGAAATCTTTTTCACCTGTGCGTTGTCAAAACGTAACCTTGTAAACGTTGGGGGATTTCCTCCTTACGCGCATGCGCAAAAATATTTACGTATGAGGCCTATTAAAGGGTTTTCCTCTTATACCACCAGTATACAGATAAGTGGGCAATGTGATGAAAACCTTTTAAGTTATCTTTATTTTGACCTATAGGCACTTGTAAATGAAATAATTCTATGGCTTAAAATATGGTAAATTATCATGCATGCAAGCACGCAATTGCATACGAATGCCTTGGGGTAACGGTACCCGGTAATTGATACCAGCGTTTAGTCTACAATCTATTTTCTGAATAACATGTATTTATCACTGGGGAAAATGGTCGTTTTAACAATTAAGAATGTAAAATAGGTCTGACATTACAACATTGTATAATTATAATGGGTTATATTTTATATACGGGAACTACTTCTCTTCATACAAAATAATGGATAATTTCGGTACCCCATATGAGGCCTCATAACTTAGGCTGATTCTATGTTAAGAACATAATGGAATTTCCATAAGTTGTGTAACGAGCCGAATATTGATTCGTAACATTCAATTTTTTGATGAGTGAGCGTAATAAAAAATATTTTTAAGTAACCACGATTTTTGTACAGGTACTGCTCGCATGCCAGTACAGAGTTCAATTTGTACATCAAACTTAAATAGCTGCCAATTTCTTTTTGCAGCACAAGATTTTGGCAAATTCAATACTTATTTTTAAGCGCTTTAGAAAATTGAAAACAATCTTAAATTGTTTAAATATTAAATATCAAAGCTAATGTCTTTCATTTTTTATCTTAATTATTTTTTTGTAAAAATCCACTTAAAGTTTGCATTTGCCATGGATTTTCGATATAATTATTGCCATGGCAAAAAATCTAGATTTAAATCTGATCGTTTCATGAGATATCATCTTATTAAAACTCTTGAATCTGTTTCTGGACCAACTGGTACTGAGCAATATTTCTGATGTTTCTTGCTCAAGGAAACAATAAGGTTTGTCCTACAGGGTTTGAACCTTATATTAATATTAACCACTATTATCTTACTGTTTAAAGGGACTCCACAGTACAGGGGTTATCTGACATGATGGGACTGAAAATAATTTTTTCGAGATCAATGTTCCTTTTGATGTAGGCTTAGACCAATAACTTGTGTGCAAACTTTCACATGATGCATGCACTCTATATTTCCAAAATAATTACTGTATAATTATAATTGTGAAAAATTACCAAAAACCAATAACCAATTCGGCTAAGAACAGCACAAAAAATATTTTCAATTTATTTCTGAGTATATTTGTTAATCATCTTTTGCATATCTTATTGTATCTAATAAAAAATTCAATTTGTTTTAAACCTCAGTGGAGTTCCTTTAAGTATGATTGGTCTCTTATATGAGGTCAGTAACATTTTGATACTAATTCAAATCATCATTATGAAATCACAACATTTAATTCTCTCTTATACACTCAGTTACCTGAACTAACACCATTATTGTCAAATTTAAATTATAGTTACTGCACTATTGTAAAATTATACCTGAGAATTCACTTGTCCGTCAGACCGTCTAGAGCTCTGTTTGGCTAGGCGTTTCTTTTTCTTGTGCAGGGGATTGGCCTCTATAATCATCTCTTCTAGTTCATATGTAGGGTCACAATTCAAATGATCTTTCTGAAATTATGATCAATAGGTTTAGGAAGAAAACCCAGAAATAGTCTATAGACCATTGTTACATAAAAGCAGCAAGTCTACAACTTCAAGCTATTTTTCAAATGAAATTGTGTTCAAAAGACTTATCTGCCTCAGTGGAAGGCAATTAAAATTTACCATACATAAAAGTCTAAATTTGCAAATTTACATTAAGAATTACTGAAGCCACAAATGAAAGTTTAATTTGACATCAAAACTTACTGAAGACAAAAAATCTAATAACTGATTAATTTGACATCAAAGACTTACTGAAGTCATACATGAGGGCTTAATTCATTTGGCATTATGGCTTACTGAAAGCATTGCAAAATGATTGTTCAATTTGGCATAAACAGTAACTGAAGGCATAAATGAAGGTTTAATTGAACAATTAAAATTTACTGAAGGCACAAATGAAGGTTTGATTTGGCAGTAAGACTTACTGATGGCACAAATGAAGGTTTGATGTGTCATAAACACTTACTGAAGGCACAAAGGGTGGTTTTATTTGAAATTAAGACTTACTAAAGGCACAAATGAAGGTTTAATTTGACATTAAAATTTACTGAAGGCACAAAATTAATGGAGGTTTGATTTGGCAGTTAAGACTTACTGCACACACAAATAAAGGTTTAATTTGACATTACGACTTACTGAAGGCACAAATGAAGGTTTTATGTGTCATAAACACTTACTCATGGCACAAATGAAGGTTTTATTTGACATTAAGATTTACTGAAGGCTCAAATTAACGTTTAATGTGACATTGAGATAAAATTAGCATTAAAACTTACTGAAGGCACAAATGAAGGTTTAATTTGCCTCTGCAGGACCTTGGCAAAATCTATATCCTCCATGTACTTATTTTCTTTTAGAGCAGACAGTGTAGATATCCTCTTTTCTGGATCTAAATGCAGCAACTGAAACAACAAGGCAAACAATCTACAAATTTGTTTTTGTACAGATCAAGACACTGTGGTATCTTCTAATATGACTTCCATACAAAATTTTTCTGGAAACATAGTACTATGAATGCATATTGTCATATTGTGAGCATCAGTGTTTTTATTTTTTATGTTTAATGCAACAATGTTTATGCTATGTAAAATAATAATGTCTGTCATTAGTTACGGTTTAGAATATCCGTCCATTGGGGAACGGCCAATTAGGGGGTAACAAGGCTTGCCGAGGCGTTACCTCAATAAAACAATTTTCCATGGGAAATGCGCTAAAATGATGCCATTGTATAACACGGAACTCATCTGGCACCCCCATGCAAGATGAACTTTCCGACATGGGTAAAACTAATGGAAACACTAGTCTGATATGCAAGAATATGAATTCCATGTGTATTTCCAGGTATGCTTTTAAAGGCCTATCATGCCTCATAAATGCTTTTATTTTTATTTCTCAAAAGCTGTTTAATTTTAGTGTACTTTTATAGTATCCAAAAAGTTACTCATTGGCCAATTACCTGAACCAACTTTTTTCTTCTGTTGCTTTGAGGCAGTAAGTACAGTTACAGCGAATTAATATTTTGTCAAAATACTACATTTTGCAACATTTATGACAAATCATTTCACATTTTTCTCTCCATATTCTTTTTCTCTCAAACTTCTTTATAAACCATTATTTAAACATTATCAAATTATCAAATTAATTTTTGCCCTTTTTAAGAAAAAAAAAATATAAATTTTTTCTGAGGCATGTAATGTGCCTTAAAAAATAATTCATTTTAGAGGTTAATTCCCATCTAACAGGCCTGAAGATAAGTATGTATTCTAGACTAAATGAGGGTCCATTTGCCCTTTCAGGCACTATGAGTACTGACCCCGGACATGTCACCATTCATGTCCTTAAATGTTATTATCAACTAAATGGTAACTAATAAATTTTGAATTCAGAAATTCACTGAATGGGCTGAAGAGAACAAATGATTTTAAATATTCATTACATTTTAAGCAGGGACAAAACAAAGCACTGATTTAAAGACCTATAGACTAAGGTCTAACAATACAGGAAATTGAATCATCAACACAAACTTGTAAAATATTGCATGCCTCACTTGTCTGAAGGTCACATACCTCAAGCATATTTCAATAAATCATTGCTCTACAGAAACAATGTGTCTGGTGCTGATTGGAAAAATTGTGGGTGGGAGTAATACAGACTTAAAGGAATAACTTGTATATGCAATACAATACATGTAAGAGAAAGGTGCACAATTACAAAAATATATCACTAAGCAAAAGGTGGGATAATAGTCCCTAATTTTGTTTAAGAAGAAAATTAATGCAATAGTGGTTTTGTTAATTGAAATTTTATTTCTCTAATAAAAGGAAACAGGATTTTTTTTTTGATTTTTTTTTAATTTTACAAATCTCTACATCAAAGGACAAGTGTACAGTATATTACTGGAGCCAGAAATTTTGCCAATAAGTTGCATTTCATATTAAAAAACAAACTTTGTTCAAAACATATTCATAAATCTTTCCTCTCCAACAATTACAAATGTATGAGTCATGTCTTTACAATAAATATATGAATACAAACTTCGCAATATACAGCAATAAATCAACATGACTTAGATAGATACAAATTCTTGTCTATTAGTTAAAAAATGCAAATTTTGTGTTTTTGGACTAAAATAAAATAGTCTTTTCTCCCTATCCTATCCTCACATCATATAACACAACACCACAAATCTGTAAATTGCCTAGTACACAAGAAAATGTTTCAATTCTTTTTGTTATGCCCCATCAAAGCACATAACAACCAAATGCTGTTAATGTATTATTTTTCTTTCAAAAGAAAAAAAAATGCCTTTCTTTTATACAGGAGAAGGGGGGAAACAATTATGCTAGAGACAGTTCAATGAATATTAAATCAGTTTTCTCATTCGCACCCTGATCAAGCAGGAAATGAACACACTGTCCCACACGATGCCTCGTCTCTCTGATTACGCCTGGGACAGGAAACTTTTAATACGTTTCTTTATTCTGGCACATTTATTCTGCGGAAGTCTTTCTACAAAAAGCGGGAAATGTTTTCCATACGGTTTTGAATACTGAATGCAAATCAGCAACAAATTATAACATAGATTAAATAGAAGGAACGGCTACTTATTTGCTCAGACACATTGTACGTGACTTGAACGAAATTGAGTATTAGTCGTACTCTAGTGTAAAGCCGTTTGTATTACTTAGCTAATCTCCAGAGAGCTCTATAAGCTTATCCCCACGACCTTTCTAACTAAATGAATATTTATAATCAGGACAATTTTTGTTTGCGAACATTCAGTGGTCAATAAATGCTGAAGTAAGGTTATCTTGCTACAGCCCGCCTCCCTCTCAAATAGTGAAATACATACATTTTGTACATGACAAAGGACAGTACCCTTTTTCAGACTTATTCATTGATCATCATTTATATCGAAGTTTAAAAAGAAGTAGTATCCTCGAGTGACCAGTTCAGGTAAGGTACAAACCTGTTTGAGCAATCCTCGGATACATTCTTCCCACACAGCAGATGAGCATGGCCGTGAACTTGTGAAAAGATGCTTTGCCTCTTGAGCAGTAGTGCTGGAGTGTATCTCATATGGTCTCTGTATATAAAAATTGTTTTAACTTGATAAACTATGATTTTTTTAAACTTAAAACAATATATCAAAAAACTTTTACCCGAATAAAGTTAAAATGACAAATAGAGGAAAGCAGGCTTAATGTTTTAAGTATTTGCTAAAATCAGGGCTACATGCATTAATTCATCACTATTAAGAAAGCCACAGAATATTTTGTAAGTGAACATATCATTCTATTAATTCATGATGTATATTTGAGTTACATGAAATAGTTTTTTTTTTTTAAATCATAACTTCTCTTGACAAATCATTGTTAAGGTAAAATAACAAAGTTTTTTGTGTATAACATTTTCTTCATTTATAGCTTTAACCCTTACCATGCTTAATATCACAAAAAGACTTGTTCATCTTTCAATCTAAACAAAACCATTCATCTTATTTAGGGAAAATTTCATTTTTTTTTAAATACTACTGAATGAATAGTGAACAATGTAGACCATGATCAGGCTATAAAGATGTGCCTGCAGCCTTTGGTCTGCATTAGTCGCATAGATTAAATCTGTTGCCACCCCAGCAGGCTAAGAAATAAATCTGCGGGAAAAAATTCCCAACATTATCAAGCTTTAGTTAACAGCCTTATACAGGATGACTTGCGACAACAAATGACGCAAGACGTAATTTTATAACTACGATGGTTTACCCTTCCTCTGAGCATTTCATAGGCACAAATTCCCAGAGACCACCAATCAACAGCATACGAGTAACCGGCACATTCCTCTAAGGCACAGGCATACATTTCTGGAGCTGAAATAATACAAGAGCCAGTTGAACCGGATGATCCTCCCAAAACAGGTTTTGGACACAGGAAAGTATACCTTTTGTAGTTTCAGAGTTATGTCCTGGACAAAGTTCAAAGTGCAATGATTCCAAATGAAGGCAAGACAGATGGACTGATGGACAGACAAAGTGGGACTGTATGTTCACGCTTTGGAAAGCATAAAAAATATTCACTGAAATTTGTAATTTTCATTACCATATCAAGCAAAATAAGATACAAAAATCTGATACATACTTGTCATTGACATATGAACACATTGGAAATAAGCTTTTAACTTAATGGGCAATTCTAGGGTAACATAAAACTTAATACATTGTACTTAATTTTATAATTATATTTTTGTTGCACTTTTGTGTGTTTTATAAGCATGTTCGAATATGTGACAATATAATATGTGTTTATGTATATTTCCCTGAATAAATCAAAACAATATGGCTTGAATTAAATACAATTCTTAAAACTTCAGAAATGTGTTTATAGGACACAGATGTTCTCTTCCAACCCCCACCCCACCCCCACTGTTTTGTCAGTCTGTAATCACACAGTGTGACAGACAAGGGCAAAGTTTACTTGCGTCTCAGACATGATTTTTTTTGCTGTTTCAACTAAAATAAAGAATAACAATAAAAATTAACTTCATAACTTGGCAGCAGTCAAATTGCATGTAAACAATTGGATTATATTAATGACCAAATATTGATGCTTAATTATATTTGAAAAACATAAATATTCTAAAATGAACTAAACTTTTTTAAGCATACCAGAAACATTATCAATTAGTCAACTATTGAAAAAAACAAACTCAAACCACTACAGTCACTAACATTAATTTTTGACAAACATATATATCACTGATTATGGCAGCCATTCTATAATACACAGAACAATGTTACATGTAAAGAACAAAACTCCATCAGTTTTGCTTGACATGTCCGGACACAATACATTTCCTTCAATTTTCTGTCTTATTTCCATCTAATCTAGAATTTATTCCAGAAAAACATAGGATATCCAATCAAGCAGACGTTTCACAGACATTATTTTAAGACCAGTCTGTGGTCAATGACTGACACAGTCTACGGGTCGCTTGAATAAAAACAAACTCTGCTTTTAAGAGAATGTGATTTATAAATTATATACTGTTAACTATTCTAACATGACATTTTGTAACATTATATCTTTTTGATTAAAGAGGAAAAAATATTCTTAGTATAAATCAAAATTAAAATCTGCTATATCTAGGCATAGTCATTACAAAACAAAAGTTGTCAAGCATGTAACTATGAACAGGTATTTGAGGCGTGTCACGACAAAACCAACCTAATGCGTTTGCAACCAGCATGGATCCAGACCAGCCTGCACATCCACGCAGTCTGATCTGGATCCATGCTGTTCGCTATCAGTTTCTCTATTTGTAAAAGAGTTTGTAAGCGAACAGCATGGATCCTGATCAGACTGGGCGGATGCGCAGGCTGGTCTGGATCCATGCTGGTTGCAAACGCATAATGTTGGTTTTGTCGTGACGGCTCATTTTTTTTACCAAATCATGACCAGAAATAAACTCTCCATTTTATTAATCATACCCCAAACACCTAATCATAATTAAAAAATGACGCCTCAATTGAAAAGCATCAAACATGAATAACCATCAAAAAGTGTAATTATGTCTTTTTGTAATATTATTATGTCTTTTTGCATGTAAATGTTCAAAAATATGCATGTGAGCATTACTTCAATTCTAGTATTAATTTTGTAGCTGCGAGTTTCCTTGCAAAATACAATGGCAGTTACATCTTGTACAACTTCAAACATCCTATGATCATAACATAATAATACCGGTATTTGGTAAACAACAGATTTAAACCAATCAAAGCAGAATATGCCTTAAATGCCGTAATATGATTTTACTTCCTAGAAATGTGATCTATTTAAGCAGAAAAATATAACAATGTTTTATTTTCAGTATCTGTATTGTGTTACTATAATTAGATTTCCTTATCAAGTTTTCTCCCTACACTGCAAGTCATCTAAGTAGCAGACGACACCTAAAAAAATTGCATCATGGGTAAAAAATTGCATCATAGGGTAATCAAATTCAGCTTGAATGATAAGAAATTCAATTGCAATGATTTCCTTTCCTGATATTAATCTGAAACCATTACATGGCAGCAACAAGATATTTTCAGTCTAAAATTGCCATGGTTCTAATTGAAGTCATATTATTGTGGAAATAACATGGCACAATCTGTTTTTGAAGATTGCTATCAGAGAGGCTTACAGCAGATAAGTTTCAGATGCTGCAAGTTTCGAATTTGTTCAGAGTTTTTTGGTCTTAAATTTTAACAATTCATTTTAGGAAATTACCCTAATTTTTGGTCTTTTAAGTCTTTGATACAAAAGCACATGAAATAACACTTAAGAAATCAATTTTATTATTACTTTTTCTTTTAATACAGAAACAATTGGAAATTGGAAATACAAGACACTATGCACCAAGGAACATCTGAGACTAGATAGAAACACATAACTGACAAAGCTGAAGAGTTTTCAAACTGGAAACAATTTTTCTTTTATTTAGTAACAGCGACCTTGACCTTTACCCAAGGGGCTTAAAAGCAATCTTAAGGGAGGTCTCCACATAAGCTTGCTATTATGCCTAAATTGATTATAGTAACTCGTTCATAACTCAAGTTATCAACTGCAAACTACTTGTAGGACGCCTGGCTCAGACCACCCACAATTCGCCAATCTAATAACCAAAACTTTTGAAAAACCTGGTTAAAAAGTCCAATAACTTTATACATGTTAACATAGTCATTCAATACCATTAACAGAAAATTACTAACTAGTTTCAATTGGTGACTAAGGAACAGTCTTTACAAGAAACTTATTAATATGACTTGTGCAGTTGCTCTTGGTGGGCTTAGGAATTTTCCTAGAAAGTTCTGATGGACCAAGTCACCAGTTGACCAAAGAAAGTCATGACAACAAAAAGTAAAAGACAGATGGGCCTATTTTCAACTCTAACATTATCTTTATCCTTTCAATGTTTTATTTGTTAAAATTGTAATATCAGCCATATTCATATATTTTGTTGCGATCTTACGCTCAAATTTTAATATAACTTAACAATGAGTTTAACTTAAAAGGAAAGGAAACTAGAAATGTGTCCATAGGACACGGGTGCCCCCACCGCGACACTGTTCTGTCAATCTTTTTACTAAGTCAAGGGAAATAACTCTACAAATACTGGATAAATCCACAAGCGAAACCCCAGGTGCAAATCTAAAATATGCTGAGCAACCTGCCCATAAGGTTTATTGACTATGTCAAATCCTTTTTGAGAAACTTGCGACACAAGTTGAAAATTGCAAAAATTTTCTAAGTGAAGGGCAATAACTCTAAAAATACTAAATAAATCCAGACGAAAATACCTGGTGCACAACTGCACATGCTGATCAATATTCCTGTAAAGTTACATGACTAGGTCAAATACTTTTTGAGTTATGTGCGACACATGTTGAAAATTGCCAAATTTTACTAAGTCAAGGGCAATAACTCTGAAAATACTAATAATATCCACACGAAAATACCCAGGTGCACAACTACACATGCTGATCAACATTCCTGTAAAGTTTCATGACTCTAGGTCAAATACTTTTTGAGTTACATGCGACACAAGTTGAAAATTGCAAAATTTTACTAAGTCAAGGGCAAAAACTCTGAAAATACTAAAAATATCCAGACCAAAATACCCAGGTGCACAACTACACATGCTGATCAACAATCCTGTAAAGTTTCATGACTGTAGGTCAAATACTTTTTGAGTTACATGCGACACAAGTTGAAAATTGCAAAATTTTACTACGTCAAGGGCAATAACTCTGAAAATACTAAAAATATCCAGATGAAAATACCCAGGTGCACAACTACACATGCTGATCAACAATCCTGTAAAGTTTCATGACTCTAGGTCAAATACTTTTTGAGTTACGTGCGACACAAAAGTGAACGGACGGACGGAAGGACGGACGGACAAGGGTAAATCTAAATGCCCGCCACTAATGTGGGGGCACAAAAATCAAATGCACTAAATTTTGTGTATTTTCCATTTCTCATCTAATAACCCTAATCTTGTATGAAACTTGGAGAAAATATGAGGCACCTCTGATAATTGTGGTAATTATATCAACACACATAAATAATGCAGTGTTTTCCATAGTAACCCTTAATGAAAATGACACCCTATAATGACCTTGACCTTGTATCCTAGCTGGAGACATTGTTCCATATCTCGGATATTCAAATCTATAAAATTGAACCATTATCTAGAAATCTGAGATTTTTGAAGTCAGAATTACAAGGAAAAGACATCTATTATGTTAGATCTCCTGTAAGATTATACTGTAAAATGCTTTACAAACAAGGTTTAAGTGCATCTCAGGCAACATTATTAGTTCCCATGTCTGACAGAAGTGGCCTTAAGTGCAAATCAAAATTGATAATTGTTCAGATTCTCTTATCACCAAGATTATGTCTGACAAAATATTTATTGAAAATATCGAATCAAACTTCATCAAAACCTAAAATAACACATCTCTAGATGGATTAAACAAGACTCGACATTCAAATTCATATTTGATTGAAATTTATAAGGACTTTTTAGGACTAATTGCTCTTATCGAAAGTCTTAAATAATTCTTAAAACAAAGAAGAAATACAAGTGAACAGCCGATATCATAATCTGATTTGTGGAAAAGACATAGAGGATATTGAATTACTAAATTTATTGAAAAAGTTGCATCATATCATATTATGCGAGCCTCTGATGAGCACCATATTGTATTATTCAACAAGTTCCATTGAACCTACACAAATTTTTATGTTTTATTAATCACATATTCAAAAAAAGAATGTTTTTATGCTAATACAAACCTTTTTACATTAATATATAACTACATGATAGTGAAGTGTTTTTTTTTTTTTTGCAAGGATGAAGCATTTGTAAGACATTACATAAATTAAATAAAGTATAACCTCCTTCAAATAGCAATCCTCCTATAAAGTTTGAATATTGTGGGCCAAATGGAACTTAGAAGTGTTACGCTCTGGAAACTGTTTACAGTTTTGAGGTAATAGTGACCTTAACCTTTGACCTTGTGACCCCAAAATCAATAGGGGTATTCTACCCAATATGGACAATCATTCTATGACGTTTGAATATTGTGGGTAAAATAGACCTTAATATATGCTCCAGAAACTGTTTTCAAATTTAAGTAATAGTGACCTTGACCTTTGACCTTGTGACCCCAAAATTAATAGGGGTCTTCTACCCAATATGGACATCCTATGAAGTTTGAATATTGTGGGCCACATGGAACTTGAGTTATGTTCCGGAAACTGTTTTCAGTTTTAAGATAATAGTGACCTTGACCTTGTGACACCAAAATCAATAGGGGTCTTCTACCCAATATGGACAATCATCCTATGAAGTTTGAATATTGTGGGCTACATGGAATTTAAGTTATGCTCCAGAAACTGTTTTCAGTTTTAAAGTAATAATGATCTTGACCTTTGACCTTGTGACCCCAAAATCAATAGGGGGTTTTCTACCCAATATGGACAATCATCCTATGAATTTTGAACACTGTGGGCCAAACGGAACTTAACTTATGCTCTGGAAACTGTTTTCAGTTTTAAGGTGATAGTGACCTTGACCTTGTGACACTAAAATCAATAGGGGTCTTCTACCCAATATGGACAATCATCCTATGAAGTTTGAACGCTGTGGGCCAAATGGAACTTAAGTTATGCTCGAAACTGTTTTCAGTTTTAAGGTGATAGTGACCTTGACCTTTGACCTTGTGACCCCAAAATCAATAGGGGTCTTCTACCCAATATGGACAATCATCCTATGAAGTTTAATTATTGTGGGCCAAATTGAACTGAAGTTATGCTCCGGAAACCAAATTGCTAACGGACGAATGGACAGATGGACGGACGAACGCCAGGGGGTATAACATAATATGCCCGAAATTCTTTCGGGCATATAAAAAAGAAGCAAAAAGCTGTGAGCATAAAACCACAAAATAGATTTGTTTAAAGTACAATACCCATATATGGCTTTGTTCCCGACATTGACGTGGCTAACTGTCCATCACTGATCACCGTAGCAATGTTAAAGTCTGTTATATGGACATGACCATCTTCATCAAGCAGTATATTGTCTGGCTTTATATCCCTGTATAGAAAAAATATATACTTTATTTTATAAATGTCACCATTTCTACAAATAGTTTTATTCAGAAAGTTTATTTAAAACAAGAGCTTTCAGAAGAACAGCGTGTTCGACTATTCTCAGAGCTTGATAGTAAAAACAAGATCCTGCATAATTTAGAATTTTCTAACTTTGAAGGGCTATAACTCTCTCACAATATTCATGTTAGAGGTATGGGCCTTAGACAGTAGCCTCCTATTTTACTCTAAAAACTTTAATAAGTATGTGAAGTTTCAACCCATTCCTTTTAGTAGTTTAAGAGATGCCAACTTGAACGCAAAAACTTGACCAAAATGTGATGGCGACCCCAAACACTAGGTGTGGACAATAGCTCTCCAAAGCTATTCTTGGAATAATTGAGCTAAAGATTGTTTTCCCACCTACATCTCAAGCATTCTAGCACTAGACTGCAATAACTGTAGAAGTGTATTAGAATATCCATCAAAATGAATATTATGTCATTTCTTTTGCACCATTAATCAATTTCTCAGAAATATAATTATGTAATAACTTTGGAAGAGCAGAAAATCAGCTGATTAGTCTCATTCTTCCATGTTGAGAATTGGAAAATCAAACCTGGTAAGGATAATGTTCATGACTTCCTGCAAGAAGCCAATCAAACAAGTCATTGATTAACTTACATGTCATACTGGCATTTGGACATCTTTGTGTCCAACAAATGACTGACAACATTTAATAAGTGTTTTGACCAAATACTATTCCAGGTGAAAGTGCTATCACTTGGTTTCTTTGTGTGTGTAGGCAGTACGTATAGCAATTAGGTAAGTGCCTTTGATTTTATACATTTACATGATGACGCCAATACTTTTTTTTTTTTATCCATACACATGTAGTATAATGAATGAAATTTATAAAAGAAACTTTGTTTTATATAAAATAAGAGGTTTTTTAACATTCTGAATAAAAAATATTTCATTTATAAAAAAAAGTGGGCGTGGTTATGTACATGTATACTATACAAGCCCTGCACCGTCTGCTTGTGGTTGGGCATGGCAACCAGTAAAGTATAGTTTAGAGATTAAAGTAAAATTTCTGTAAAGGGGCAATCTGAAAGGCAACTGTCTCTTTAGAACAACAGTTTAAGTTTTCCACTTTACAATCTTTAACTTCTCTAAAGCAACACCTTTCAGCAACAACCAAAATGTTTGTTCTCCAAAAGGGAATTACTTTTATTACATGCTTTTTGGTGGTTTATAGAAATATATCAGTGATATAAAAACTGGTAATTTCACTGCTTGAAACAGTGAAATTACCACTTTGATAATTTCACTGTTTTGAATTTAAGCCCCTTACGTTCAGACTTCCCGAAATACGTTGTTTCAGTGAAATACCAGCGTGCACAGAACTGGGTACCATTTTAATGACGTGACGTCGTAAATGACGTCACGTTGTATTATTATTTGGCGCGCTTTTCATTCAGTATTAGGTTAAATGTCTTTTTAAAACGTTTCTTTGCATATAATAAAAAGAAAATTTGTTTAGTTTAGTGTAAGATCGAAAAATATTTACCTTGTGAACACCAAAGGTTCATATTTCACTCGTGGCTGCGCCACTCGTGAAATATACCTTTTGGTGCTCACTCGGTGAAATATATTCCGATCTTACACTGAACTAAACAAATATCCTCTATATAATGTAGATGTTATATTGAATTTCAAGCTGTATACAGAATTTTATATGTGTATGTTCTTATGTTTAATCAATTTACATTTTTACATGTTACCCCCCTATAATTTTTAGATGTCACAATCAATCAATCAATCAATCAATCAATCAATCAATATCCTTTCCTATCCTATCATATCTACTATCAATCAATGAATCAATCAATCAATATCCTTTCCTCCCATATCATATCTACTGTCAATCAATCAATCAATCAATCAATCAATCAATCAATATCCTTTCCTATCCTATCCTATCCTATCTACTGTCTAGTCCTGTCCTGTCCATTCATAGCCGTAGTCACCTTAACATTGATCAAATTAACCTTTAAACCCTTCTAAAGAAAATAATGGTGTCAATTTAAGATACAATGACAGTATTGCAACAAATGGTATCAATCATATGTGACAGAAAAAAACAAAGAGAACAAACAAACAATAAATAATTTGAAAACTTTTTTATCATTTCCTTAGTTTAGAAACTAGGCAAATGTTACAAAATTCATATTATGTCTTCTTAACACTTTGTTTAAGTATAATCTATCTTAAAGTATATAAATATATTCATTTAGGACATTTTCTTATAACCTCTGGTCCGTATCTAATGGGGGTAATGAAATCATGGAAACAGGATCCAAATAACCTAACTGATAGCTGAATTTCTCTTTCATCTGCCAATACAAATTACCAAATCAGTGTGACAACTTTCACATGAACCATTTGACCTTCTTCCCCCTAATGAAGTTTCAAAAGTACTTTAATAGTTTACTCTGTGAGGTACAAAACATATCTTTGATATTTCTGGACAAATCTGCATCAATAAAAGCAGTCATTCTACTTGGCGGAGCTTATCCAATAGTATAGATATAAAGTTCAATAAATTTGTGAAATGTCAAACACAATTGACGATAAAAATAAGAGAGAAAATGTTGTTTTGGTTATTTCACTGAAGATTTAATATAATTATCTAGAAAATAAAAAAACTTTAATTGCAATTCTACTGCAGAATTAAGGACTAACAAGTAGCAACAAATTAAAGTCCAACATATTTTCATCTCAATTAGTCGAACAGTGAAAACAGCCAACTGATCAAAGGTCGGTGACAACAAGGACCATATTTTTTAGAAATAAGGCAAAGAACTTGTGAATTTACATGAAAATACAACATTCTCAACAACAAAAAGTAAACCATGCCCTGAGAGAACAATTAATGAAAATTATAAAACAATAAATCACAAATTTAAGTCTTTATCAGTTTTCACACACAACCTAACCAGCCTTCTTTCCTATCTTCATTTATATCACTGAAACTAATACCCTTGACATATAACTGCGTTTTATACAGATTTCTCTTTGAAATTTCTACCAAAGAAGTTTCCATGGAATTTAGACAGATCCTGAATGTTATTCCAGCAGACAAATTAGAATCATTAAAATACAGTTGAGAGTTTCACAATGACAATTTGATTCTTAGCGGCAAAATATACTCCATAGAACAAGAGAATATTCACAGTTCCGATGCTTGCCAATGCCCAAGAGTCACAGACATAAACACGGAAAAATCAAGAGACTTCCCCTAGAGACGTACTAACAAGAAAATCAGCAGAGTTTTTTTCTTTTTGCAGGAGACTTGTCATGCAATAATTTAATTAACTTGGTAAAAATGTACTCTCCAAGAACTCTAGAGCCCACTTTATGGCCTAGAACATTGTATCGGATGGGTGAAGGACTGAAGGCTCACTGTTTTGAAGGTTTTGGTTTTAAATCAGAGGAATTAAGTGTTTTAAAGTTTAAGCAACAAGCAGTGGTTAAATTTCATACTTAATTGGGAAGACACCTAAGCCTCTTGATTTTGGGAAGATTTATTGCTAAAATTGCCAATTTGGGAAGTAAAAAAGCTGGTGTAAGTTCAGATTTTTTGGTAAAACTGCATGATTCCAAAGAAAATTTCAATTGGGAAGAAGCTTTTTGTAGACCTGCGTTTATACATAAGGTGAACAATCACTGACAAGGAGCCACAATTGGGTCTACCTCCATTTTACATATGACTCATAGCACTGCTAGAAGCAGACTGTGCTATCCTAAGTACTCACTGTAAACAACCTAAACAGTTAGTCAACCATGATTATAAAGATCATATATGGTAAATACAGAAAAAAAGTTCTTTTTGGACAGCTGGTCCTTATAAACGCGTCAATTTGCGTTAAAATCATACAAGTGAAAACCTAAAGACTCGTGGCCTGTTAAACGGAACATTGTATGTGTGGTCTTTATTTAGAGATGATCCTTACAAAGTTTAAAAATATCAATGACAACATTTCATAAACGACCAGGTCTCAGAGAGGGTTCAAAAAGGGATTAGTCCAATTATGGAAATCCAATCACACTAAAATGAATGAACCCAATTACATTGAAATCCAAGCATACTAAAATAAATGAATCTAATCACATTTAAATCTAATCACACTAAAATGAACAAATCCAATCATACAAAAAATAAATAAATCCAATCATATTAAAATGAACAAATCCAATCACACTGACATCCAATCAGACTTAAATGAACTATTTCATTCAGATTATCTAGGGAGTAAAAGTCAAAAGTCATTGATTTGTGTTAATGTTAACTTGATATCTACCTTCAGGGTGAAAAGTGTCTATTCAATTATAATAAGAACTATGGTAGAAATCTATTAAACAGACAATTCCTCAGGGTGTGAGAGATGTTTCTGACATTTTCTTATTCAATATTTTCATGCCATTATATCAGTTGGTTAACCCTGACATATCTGGAATACAATATATTGTCACATGAGGATTGTTGTGAGGGGTCTGAACTTTTTGTTAAAGGTGGCTTTTCTGCATACTAATATTTGAGACAAAAGTACATTTAAAAGTGTAAACAAGAGTTGTTGGTAGGACAGCATGCTAGACTATTCTTCGTGTTTGCTTTATTTTGTTAAAAATGAAGAATTTTCTCACTTCAAAATGGGCCACAATTCTGTCAAAATCCATGTTACAGTCATATGGGCCTTGGATAGTGACCTCCTTTTATGCTCTGAAATAAGTGTATGAAATTTCAAACCATTCCCCTTGGTAGACATGCACTCAAAAACTTTAAAAAAATGTTATGCTGACACAATACCTCAATGAATACAAAAGTCCCCTCTATTCTTCAAACGTCAAGCTAAAAATTACTCACTCTTAAATTTTTTATTTTAAAATTCTGTATAATAAAGCAAAACATAATTATGTTAGGGTTTTACGTCACACCAACACTGCACAGGTCAAATTGCAACTTTCCAGCTTTACTGGTGGAGGAAGACCTCATATGAGTATTGATCCTTGTTTTTTTAATGCTTTAAGGCAGGAATTGTCTCCAGCATATAACTTAAAATCTACCCTTGTATAATTATTTCAAATCACTCTTCGAATACATAAATTTTTACAGGAAAAAAATTTAGATACCACTTTTAAACATTTATATCTTTGCATTTTTGCTTCCAAAACCAACAGTCCATTTAATGTTCCTCCATCGTAATATAGATGTCTTTTCTTTTTTTATACTATGGAATTCTTTCATCCAAGTAATTAATAATACAGAATTATATGATAAATTAGAATCTGATCTGCAGTCTGGGACACACGAGATCTGGACTCCAATCAAACATATAACAAAACCAATAAACTGCTTTGATTTTGATATTTGTCATAATTTGCTGCACTAAAAAGTTTATAATTAAATAATAGCATCATAATATTGACATTATTATACATAATGACAAGTATTTCAATTTAAACTTGAGCTTGAAATAAGATTAGTGCTATATCAGCCTACACATTAACTAACTTTGAAATAAGATCCCGAAAATGATTTTCCAATGAGACCATGTTGAGTACATTATCTTTTCTATTTATATTGGCTATTGTAATACATTGTAGTTTCACAGTAGATTATGCAAAGAAAAAACATGTTTTACTGACGAGTTTGTCAACATTTTTTCTGGAATTAAAAGAGGTCAGTGATTAAGGATTAACATCAATTAACATAAATGATTCAGGGGTGGCAAAATCAATTGTCCATATTTCCCAGGTTGACCCACAGGCTGTACGGACAAGTGGAAATTTTAAAGAATTTACTATATAAATACCATATGGATATGGTAATGGACAAGTAAGTTCATACCAAATTTTGCCGGCTCTCACAATGTATTCTTTATTCCTTGTATAAAACATATTAGTGCTTTTTGGCAAGAACATTCCATCTAATTGGTGTTATCACTCCTTTTTTCAAGTAGGGGCTTTCCCCCAAACCAACTTTCCGTCAGAACAATAGTAAGATATCTCCCTAACAGCAATATCTTGTATGTACTATACAGAAAATACTGCAGACAGTTAAAAACATCACAAGCGTAAACATAAATTTGCCTGTAACTGTTGCTAATGACATTGTTGTTTTCTTGGAAACAAAGGTAACAAAAACTTTGCTCAGTCTTCTGAAACCAACCACACACAGAGTAAATGTTTTATAGCACAAAGACAATACAAAATGTTCAGCTAATAGAATGAGAAAATGTATTAAAGAGGTTTTTCAGGAAATGACATTTTTGTAATTCTCATCCAGACAGCAACAGTTTTATTTCACAGTATAAAACATTATGAAGGTTTTTATGGGATGTATACACACATTGGCACATAAATTATTTACTTTACTTCATATCTTAAATAAATAAATACAAACTTTAACTCTTGAATTTGAAACTGTTCAGTACTGTTAATTTGAGAGATTTCATGATATAAATATAGATTTTAAAGGGAATGTACCTGCTTGCATCAATCTAATTATAGTGACTTACACCTGCTTGAATTGATATCCTGAGTTATGGGACCTGTGCCCATCATTTCAAATAATCACAGGGAACAAGTGTGTGAAGTTTCAATCCATTCCCTTTGGTAGTTTTGGGAGATACCAATTTGATTGCAAAAAACTTAACCAAAGTGAGACGCGAACAACTGGGTGAGTATAATACCTATCCCAATTCTTTGAATTGTCAAGCTATAAAAAACTATTTCATAGTTTCCTTATAATACAACAGTTTACTTTATATACCTATTGTCACTAAATTTATTTGTGTGAGATAGGATTAAAATCATTTACTATTTTTCACTTTGACTTCAAGAAAGGCTTTGTAACGATGTGAATACATTCTCTAAAATGTCAGAGAAATTTCCAGAGACTTTAACACATATGAGCCGTGTCATGACAAAACCAACATACATTGTAATGGGTTTGCGACCAGCATGGATCCAGACCAGCCTGCGCATCCGCGCAGTCTGATCAGGATCCATGCTGTTCGCTTAACAACCCTATTACAAATAGAGAAAGTGATAGCGAACAGCATGGATCCAGATCAAGACTGCACGGATGCGCAGGCTGGTCTGGATCCATGCTGGTCGCAAACCCATCATGTTGGTTTTGTCGTGACACGGCTCATATCTCTCTCTTCAGTTAACAAATGAGAAGATTTTGCAAGCTTCAACTATTAAGAGATGATTTTCCCCTCTTTACTATAATAAGCATCCATTGAGGCATTCTAGTGAAATTGCATGAAGAAGTTTTTTTTTATCTTTCATTAGGCAACTCAGAAAGTGCCTGTCAAGAGGGGGGAGTGAAAATCTGCTTTTAAAGTGTTAATTTTCAAGGATTGTAACAGTATCTCTGTAACTATTGTCCCTAGAGAAAAAGCAAGCAGCAGATGCTGATCAAGAGAGGCATGTAAAGATAAAGAGTTTCATGACTTTGTTCACAGGGATAAAAACTGTAGCAGAGAAGAAATTAGCCAGAAAATGTCATGAACCAAAAACAGAAAGCACTCAAATTAGAGCGCGAGAATGACAATATCAAAATATTGGATAACATTGATGTGTAAGAGGGGGGGGGGGGGGGGGGGGGTTGTTTATATTAACGTCTATAATAGTGAATCTCACTGTCAGCTTAATTGAGAGATCATTAAAACTATTGACCATGAATTAACATGCTTTCATAGCAACAAAAATAGTCATAACTTTATAAAACCCAAAAATAGAACCTTTTTTTTTTTTTTTTAAAAATTGTCACTTAAATTATATAATAATACTGTAACTGTGCATTACAACTTGAACAATTTATACTAATAATGAACTTAAGCTAATGAAACTACCAAAATAAACCATTTGAGCCCTGACAAAAAATAACATAATTTTAAGTACAAAATGGAGGTTACTTAAAGCAGCATAAAATGGTTATAAAACTGCTTATACAACTTTATGTATGTCTTTTATTAACCCTTTTCATGCTAGATACTTTAATTAGACTTGCCCCTCTTTGAATGTAGACAAAACCATTATCATTTTTAGCGGAAAATTTAAAATATGTACTGCCTGAAGAACTAACATTGCAGACCTGGATGGGGAGGCACAGATATGCTGGCTGATCCTGGTCTGCAATGGTCTCATGGGTAGATTCAGTAAACACAAATAGGCGAACTTAGATTAAAAGTCAATGTAATCGTCTACCTTATTTCAAATGCATACAAATGCAGTCTGCAAGACAAATAATGGCCAAAATTAACATATTAGACAAAGAACAGATTTAAACGTCTTGAGGAAATCTTAAATGACATAAAAAAACAGGACACCCATCATGGTGAACATTTGTACCAAATTATTTTGTAATCCATCAGAGAATGAGCAAGATATAGACCAAACAAATCCTGACCCATGGATAGATGCACATACATCAAACTATACGCCAAAAGTGGCGACTAAGTCGAGCTCAAAGCAATCAGGCTTGACAAAATCCAAACAGATTTGGACTTGTGTAGAGAAAATGTTATATTACCTGTGTATAATATGTTTGGACTGTAGGTAATCTAAAGCCAATGCTATCTCTGCGATATATAACTTGACTCGGTCCTCGTTAAACTGATTCTCCTGTTGTATATGATAACGTAGATCTCCACCCAGCAGTAAATCAACGACCATAAACATATCTTCTTCATCCTGTAATGATATAATAAATGCTTTTTTTTTTTAAATTCTAAAATTTAAATTATTTCATTTTGCTAAAAGTTCATTAGGCACATCAAAAAGGTATAAGAATACATGTATAATCATTACATTATAATTATTGTATGTGTCAATCAAGCATATCAACAAGTTAAAGAATATAGTCAAATTGTACTCTCAGATCTCATATAAGTATTGACCCCGTTAAATTTTTTTAATTTTTTTTTTTTCAAGAATTTGGGGAATCAATGTTTGAGCTGTTTCCATCTGCAGATAAAGACTGAAAAAACACATCTGCTGACAATGTACAATATAAACTATAAATCTATCTAAAAATTCTATTTTTTTTTTTTATCTCCAACCAAGTGTCAACTTTCATATTATATGGAACTCACTATATCTTCAAAGCGTACGTTATCATCACATAGTCGTCTGACCAAGTGTTAAATTTCATATTAAACCCATTACACTTTCAAAGTTACAGCACAATTCACTTTAGAAATAGTTTTGTCACATATTCTATTTGTTCTGTCAATTAGTTGCTATAGCAACCACACCTATCTTCATATCTATTACAATGTTCATTACCACCTTATTGTACTTGTTTCCCTTAAAACCAAAAGACACCAACATTTCTTTTGCATAAATTGCAAAATCAGGCCTTTCAACAAAATTGTCATGTTAATTAACAATCTGTTACTATAGCAACAATTATCTGGATATTGCCTTCTAAATTAGCTGTAAGTTAAATACTGAAGTTTCTCACCAAAATTTAGAATAATTTAGTTAATGTGAATTAAGAGGCAAATTCTGCTGATCATATTTAAATTACACTATTCCCATAAGCTTGTAACCATTTTTGTTCCAATTCTTTCTTTAAATTTTGGTTTAGTCAAACTGATGTTTCCACAGCCCTAACTTTATTCATCGGGCCAGGGATTGTCCAATAGATACCCAGGCAGAACTGGATAGCTTCCTCCTTGAAAAGAATTGGATGTCTCTGGTAGGATTCAAACCTAATGAGGTAAATTATTCGATATGACCACCCAAACAATACTATCATTCCAAAATCCCTAGGTATACTACCTAGTGTGTTAGGAAGAAACAATTGAATAATCCATTTATCTAAATATAATAAAAAAATATTTAAAAAATGCACTGATCAATTGTAACCAAGGCCCCTTCACCCCTAGAAAAAAGTGGGAACTTTTGGAAATTCAAAACCCAGGTAAAGGGTCTGCCCAGCAGAGACAGTTGGATGGTAAAATCTCTGGCACGGCACTTTTGACATATCCCAAGCCATATTGGCACCATATCCCATGCCAATAAGGCACTATATCCAACCCATTATGGCACCATATTCTAAGCCATTACAGCATCATATCCCAAACCATTATGGCACCATATCCCAAGCTATATTGGCACCATATCTCAAACCATTATGGCACCATATCCCAATCCATTATGGCACCATATCCCAAGCCATTATGGCATTATATTCCAAGCCATTATGGCACCATATTCCAAGCCATTATGGCACTATGTCACAAGCCATAATGGCACCATATTCCAAGTCAAAGTTGCGTCATAACAAAACCATTCACAGTGCAGGGACTGAGAGAAAAGACAAATTTCGGCTCATCTCTGACCTATCCACAGAGGTGGATCAGAGCTATTTTACAAATGACAGGTACAAAAATATCATTATCCTTTAAAATGTTGAACAGCCATGGGATATCAAAAGATAATAATATACCTGAAATGTGAACCAGAGATTTACAAGGAATGGATGGTCTAGATTGGTTAGTATTTCCACTTCTTTTAGAACATTTCTAACAGCTTCATTCTTCACACACATAGCTTTATTTGTGTATTTCATTGCATACATCTTCTTTGAATCCCGCTTCTGTACTATACACACCTAAGAGAAAAAAATAAATCATAATAGAATAGAATGTCAGTTAATTATTATGTTAACATTGTGGCAAGAAAAAAATTCTGGTTTTACAAGTTAAGCAGATCAAGGGTCAAATATTTTTGCAATCCTGTTGTGCTGTTCCTAAATGTTATAGAAAGATTGAAATTGATAAATGAACAATGAGAAATAAGAGAAGCAACGCAAAATAATATTTCAAGACAAGACTTGTTTTGTTTGAAGTATCGGTGGAAGAAAAATCTTTGTCTCATGCAAAATAAATAAAAAGAATTTAGCAGGAACTAAATAAAGAGATTGCTTGGTGACTGAGTGGTACAAATTGACACAATATGATTTTGTTTTGTTTTGGTTTTGGTTGGATTTTACATCGCCCCAACACAGCATATGCCATATAGCAACTTTCTAGCTTTACTGGTAGAGGAAGACTTCTGGTGCCCCTCTGTGCATTATTTAAGGTACAAATGGGCATAGAGTAGAACTGAACCTGAGTAGAACCACCATTCTGTAAGCTTGCTGGATAGCTTCCTTACATGAAAGAATTCAAAGTCCCTGTCATGATTTGAACACACAGCAGTGAGGGGCAATTAAACAATAAATGGTGCCAAAGCGTTTTGTATGACTGATAATGTTATATTACCTTCCCAAAGCTCCCTTTACCAATAGCTCTCAATATCAGGAAGTGGTCAAAATTCACTGAAACGAGAAAACATCATTCACTTTACAAAATATTTTATTAGTGAGTAAACTAAATATAAACTAAATATGGTAATATGATTCAAATTCATACTTCTGAGTTCTGAGCAAAATGAAAAGTTCTTTTATGACTTTTTGCATCTAGTTTTTATATCATTTTATGCTCTCAGTTGTTGCTGATCCAATTAATATTGAAGTAATTTAAGAGGGCTGTTTCTAATGTTTTTTGTTGTTGTTTGGGTTTTACAGCACATCAACATAGTCACATTATATGGCGACATTCCAGCTAAGTTATTGGTTGAGGACGACCTCAGGTGCCCTTCCATGTGTTTCAGGCACAGACATTTCAGGCACAGACACCTGATTACAACCATAGACACTCAGTAACTATATCTTGCCAAAAACCCGGAACCTACATACAGTAGTGTCCCTATCAACATTTCAGTAATCTGTTGAGCTAACATGCATAAGGAGCAACCCCTGTAAACATTGCCTTATTGTATTTGATCATTAACTAAAACAGGTGTAAAATTAGTTATTGGAATTAAGCCCTTTAATTATTACAAATTTACTGAATAAGTATTAGTATGGCGGTACCCTTGGGGCACCACACTATCCCTATATATATAATTGCTGCAGGTGAATAAAATCTTTGGCTAATGTAAGTTTTCTAATTTCTCTGTAACGTAACAAGAGCTGTCGGTAGGACAGCAACGCTCCACTATTCTTAGTGCTTGATAGTAAAAAAAATGCCTGATACAGTTACCTCCTCCTGTTTACAGGTTGGGGTCATGATGGTGAACAAGTGTGCAAAGTTTCAAAGCCATATGTCAATGGACTTTGAAAATATTTGAACTATTACAAAAACTTTAACGTAAATTCTAAGTCGAAAAAGGGGCATAATTGTGTCAAAATGCTTGATAGAGTTACCTCCTCCTGTTTACAGGTTGGGGTCATGATGTTGAACAAGTGTGCAAAGTTTCAAAGCCATATGTCAATGGACTTTGAAAATATTTGAACTATTACAAAAACTTTAACATAAATTCTAAGTCGAAAAAGGGGCATAATTCTGTCAAAATGCTTGATAGAGTTACCTCCTCCTGTCTACAGGTTGGGGTCATGATGGTGAACAAGTGTGCAAAGTTTCAAAGCCATATGTCAGTGGACTTTGAAAATATTTGAACTATTACAAAAACTTTAACGTAAATTCTAAGTCGAAAAATGGGCATAATTCTGTCAAAATGCTTGATAGAGTTACCTCCTCCAGTCTACAGATTGGGGTCATGATGGTGAACAAGTGTGCAAAGTTTCAAAGCCATATGTCAATGGACTTTGAAAATATTTGAACTATTACAAAACTTTAACGTAAATTCTAAGTCGAAAAAGGGGCATAATTCTGTCAAAATGCTTGATAGAGTTACCTCCTCCTGTCTACAGGTTGGGGTCATGATGGTGAACAAGTGTGCAAAGTTTCAAAGCCATATGTCAATGGACTTTGAAAATATTTGAACTATTACAAAAACTTTAACATAAGTGGTTACGCCGACGCTCGGGTGACTGCAATAGCTCTACTTATTCTTATCGAATAGTCGAGCTAAAAACTATAGAGTGAGCACGCCTACAGATGAAGAAAGGATCAAAATCTTCAAAAAAAATCAGGCTTGAAAAAAAAATCTTCTATATTTTAAGAAATGAATAAATATTTTGACAATTTAGTGAAACATTCAAATTGTCATAATATGCAAAATAAGATCAAATTTACCAGTTTTATCACTGTTGTAAAATAATTACATAAATGTAATATAATTATCAAATGTTACATCAATTTTTTATTCTAGTCTGAAAAACAAACACAATATTTCAATTAATTATACTTTATAGTTACTTCTTTAATATAATAAACTGAGAAAAAATTCTTTGGGGTATTTTTTTCCCACACTTTATTTTCTTAAAATTTAATGGTAATAAACTAAACATTGCTATTTTAAGATATTTTCAGAATTTTTAATAACTAGAGTCTGCCACAGAAATCTTGATTATGCAACATTAATGCAGTCAAACGTTTTGCAGGCATTGAGAGCTTTTGTTGTAGAAATAAATTACCGTGAAGGGATTATATCAATTTTTTCTTAAAAAATTCAAAAAGCTATTAATTCTAACGTGTTCGTTTAGATAAAAGCATTCTTATGTAATGGCTGTTCCGTTAAATAGGTTGCCGTAATTTTACATCTGATAAAATTTAATGTCACATGATCACTTGACTGACATTATAATATTAACCGATATTTTAGAGACCATTTCACAAAATATATTACATTAAAAAGACAACTTTCAAATTAAATCATACATTCTAAAATAATTATCATTTTTCAAAACATATTTAATTGCAAAATCTGACATGAACAATTTTGTAATTATTGAATGCTGGCATGAGATATAAAGATTGTTAATTAAGATCATTTAAGAAATGACGTAAAAAGACGTAAACATATTAAGTCCCCTTGAAATGTTCAAGACAAACATGAATTGGTAACAATAAGCAAATTTCAAACGTTTTTATTTATTTCAAGAGCTACAGAATTAAATTTCTTTAAGAATTCAATATGTCAATTAAAGAACTAAATGATGTAAATTGTTGTTTTCTCATGCCAGAGTTAAATGAATTTTTTTTAGATGACTAAAACATAATTTGAGCCGCGTCACAACAAAACCAACATCGTGCGTTTGCGACCAGCATGGATTCAGACCAGCCTGCGCATCGGCACAGTCTGATCAAGATCCATGCTGTTCGCTTACAGACCCTATAACAAGTAGAGAAACTGATAGCGAACAGCATGGATCCTGATCAAACTGCGCGGATGCGCAGGCTGGTCTGGATCCATGCTGGTCGCAAATGCATTATGTTGGTTTGTCGTGACTCGGCTCATTTTTTAATAATTATACAGAATGCACGGAAAATGATTGATAACTTATGGCTTAATATCAAGAACTAAACCCAGATGGCAAAGTGCGTACTTCATCATTACAGAATTTCTATCAAGATTGAAATAAGACAGACAATAAATCAAACACAGTCGAAATTTACATTTTTCCAATCAGATTTCAGAAAAATATCCCCTTTTAAAGAACTATACAATTCACAGAAAATAGAATCAGAGTTTCTATTGAACGATGACTTACCAACAAAGTGAGTTTTGTGTTAAACGGAAAGAGCGAGCTGTTTTTTTTAAATGCATCGCAGGCAAATTGTCACAGGAAATATTAAAACTAATGAGCTATCAAGGAGACCAAATCATCCCTTGTTAAAGAAAGAGGACATTCTGCAGGAACGTTTCTCATTTTCAATCAATCAATGTGTAAAAATTGCCGCCATTTCTTGGCAGCGTATCAATTAAGCACTAAGGAGTGAGACAGCATGGAGATGAAATTCATTAAAACCATCTATTTCAACTTTGATTTTCTTTCTATGGAACTTTGACTCAGGGGACCGGCATTATGAAATACTGTAATGGAAACTTGATATCTACTGCATTACATATACAGAATAATTACTGAAAGTCACGGAATCAACAATGTTTCAGCTAGCTTGTATTTAAGAGATGTCTTATTGAAAGAATAATTATGGGAAATATCATACTCATAATGTTTAGACGTTTACTTTATCAAACTTGGTATAAAACTGTCAGCCACATGACAATTTTCACATTTTGTCAGTCACATGATGGTTATCTAACTTTGTCAGTCACATGACAATTTTCAAACTTTGACAGCCACATGAAGCTTATTAAACTTTGTCGGTCAATCACATGATGGATATCAAACTTTGTCAGTCAATCACATGACGGATATCAAACTTTATCAGTCAATCACATGATGGTTATCAAACTTTATCAGTCAATCACATGATGGTTATCAAACTTTGTCAGTCAATCACATGATGGTTATCAAACTTTGTCAGTCAATCACATTACGGATATCAAACTTTATCAGTCAATCACATGATGGATATCATACTTTGTCAGTCAATCACCATGATGGTTATTAAACTTTGTCAGTCAATCATATTACAGTTATCAAACTTTGTCAGTCAATCACATGATGGTTATCAAACTTTGTCAGTCAATCACATTACAGTTATCAAACTTTATCAGTCAATCACATGATGGTTATCAAACTTTGTCAGTCAATCACATTACAGTTATCAAACTTTATCAGTCAATCACATGATGGTTATCAAACTTTATCAGTCAATCACATGATGGATATCATACTTTGTCAGTCAATCACCATGATGGTTATCAAACTTTGTCAGTCAATCACATTACGGATATCAAACTTTGTCAGTCAATCATATTACAGATATCATACTTTGTCAGTCAATCACATGATGGTTATCAAACTTTTTCAGTCAATCACATTACGGATATCAAACTTTGTCAGTCAATCACATGATGGTTATCAAACTTTGTCAGTCAATCACCATGATGGTTATTAAACTTTGTCAGTCAATCACATTACAGTTATCAAACTTTATCAGTCAATCACATAATGGATATCAAACATTATCAGTCAATCACATGATGGTTATCAAACTTTGTCAGTCAATCATATTACAGTTATCAAACTTTGTCAGTCAATCACATGATGGTTATCAAACTTTGTCAGTCAATCACATTACGGATATCATACTTTGTCAGTCAATTACATGATGGTTATCAAACTTTGTCAGTCAATCACCATGATGGTTTATCAAACTTTGTCAGTCAATCATATTACAGTTATCAAACTCTGTCAGTCAATCACATGATGGTTATCAAACTTTGTCAGTCAATCACATGATGGTTATCAAACTTTGTCAGTCAATCACATGATGGTTATCAAACTTTGTCAGTCAATCACATTACGGATATCATACTTTGTCAGTCAATTACATGATGGTTATCAAACTTTGTCAGTCAATCACCATGATGGTTATTAAACTTTGTCAGTCAATCACATTA